GGTGTTTTATTTTACTTTGAGGGTATCCTGTACCTCAAATTTACTAATTTTTCTCTGCTTAAAACAGACTGCTTTATCTTGAAATCTCCTTGACTTCCTTAACATTTGGAAGTTCTGAATCTGTGCCATTCCCTCTTTTTGTTTTGTAGTTGACTTCATCACAAATTGATATCTCTTGTTCCCTATTTTCAGTCTTGTAGGTTTGTTTTACTTTAAACACTTCTATATCTGGATTGGCGTCCTGGTGTGGTGCTGTGAGTTAATGCGCCAGACTGCAAAGCCATTTGAACTATAAGCTCGGTGGTTCAAGCTCACAGTCACTCCTTGGAAACCCTATGCAGGGTTGCTATGTGTCGGAACCGACTTGACAGCACTTTTTTTTTGTTAACAACAACATATACCTGGATTAAGTTCTGGATAGTGTTGTCATATATGGTTACCTCAGGTTGTTGTCTCCTTTTGTTGGTTCTCAGTCCTTTAATATTTTTTGTAATGTTGGTGTGGTCATTATAAAGTGTGTCAGCCTAGTCTGCTATCTTGCTGGCACTGTGAATTTTTTTTGAGCATGTCTTTTGGTATAAATATATGCAAACATTTCTGACTTCTTGTTTAGCATATAATTATGAATAAAATTGCTGAGTTGTTATTATTAGGTGACGAGTCCATTTTTTACTTCTAGTGAGCCCATGTGACATGCTAGAACTGCCCCGTAGAGTTTTCTAGGCTGTAATCTTCACGGGGACAGATTTCAGGTCTTTTTCTTGTTTAGGTGCTGAGTGGATTTAAACCTTTCACTTAGCAGCCAAGCACTTCCTCTTTCTGCCACCAGGGCCCTCTATTGGAAGACACCTTAAAGTTAATCAGAGTGGCAGTAACGCCATTAATTTTCAAAATACTTAAGCATGAGATTATTCACTGAAGCATTGTTTGTCATTGCAAAGTATTAGAGACAAATGAGCATCCATAGAAGAATGGCTTGATGAACCTGTGGTGAATCGGTTCCCTGGAGTATTACACAGCTGTATCACGTACACAGAGGGGTGGACACTCTGATCTGATAGGGTATAATTTACAGTATATATTGTTAAGTTGAATTATGCAAAGTACAAAGCATATTTATAGTTGCTCATTTGTGCAAAATGATATACAGAAAGGATAGATCTCAAACTATTGAGATTGGTTTAGCATGGGGTTAGGTGAGAACCTAGGTAGAAGAAATTAAGGGAAATAGGACTCATAAGCCTACCTTTTAGTATTAGCTTTGCCTTTTAGAATCATATTAATATTTTACCTACTTTAAAAATAATAATAATTTGGGAAGACTCAAAATGGAATATAGACATAAGCAAATGAACCAAATTGTCTTTCAAATGAATAAAATTACCACACTAAAGGGGCTCAAGAAAAATAGCCCAGTTAATTTTCTAGCACCATACTTGGACAAAGTTGTTGTTAGGTGCCGTCGAGTCAGTTCCGACTCACAGAGACCTTGTATAGGGTTCCTGAGGAGCAGCTGCTGACCTTGCAGTTCAAACTGACCTTGTGATTGAGTGCTGATCCTACAGTGCCACAACAAATATTGAACTCTGGTTGTGATAGGTTTATTTTTCACAGAGACATAAGGGTTAAGTCCCTTCAAACTCTGAAACTTTATAGTCCTAGAAAGACCAAGGAGTTATGGTGCATAGTGGCTTAAGTATTGGACTACTAACCCCAAGGTGAGCGGTTCAAACCCATTAACCACTCTGCAGGAGAAAGAGGAGTTTGTCTGCTCCCGTAAAGATTGATAGTCTCGGAAACCTTTGGAGAAGTAGCTCTACTCTGCTATATATAGATCTGTGTTGCTGTGAGTCGTAACTAACTTGACAGCAGTGGGGTTTTGGTATTCTAGTAAGACCAACTGCTTTACACGAGAGAAATCTTTTTTAAAGTCACAGAGATAACTCATGGGTGGGACTGGAGAGAGGAACCTAACTTAAGAATTGTATCTAGTCCTTCCTTTCAAGAGAACAAAACCAAGCCACCCGACTTACAGAATTGAACTTGTGTTCAGTACATAGACACCGCTTGTCATTTCTTTATCTGAGTTTTCCTTTTTGTTATTTTCAGGGAAGAAACTTTTTGGTGAAGGCTACAGTGGACTAGAATATGATTACCGAGGTCTCATTAAACTTTACAATTCAATTGGAAATTATGAGAAAGTATTTGAATACCACAATGTTCTGTCTAACTGGAACCGGTTGCGAGATCGGCAGTATTCAGTAACCGACGCACTTGAAGATGTCACCACCAGCCCCCAGTCCACTGAAGAAGTGGTGCAGTCCTTCCTGATTTCTCAGAATGCTGAGGGACCGAGCTGCTGAGGAAGGGCCTCAGTTCACCAATTTACCTTTTCCCAGATTCCAGGGAATTCATACTGTGAAATCAAAACCATGTTGTTTTGGGGGTCTGGAATTTGCATTGAAACACTGGTCCAGTCCATTGAAGAGCCTATTTGGGTGATCCCTATCTTGCAAAGTGTCCGTAGGAATAAGCATATATTCAGTTATATTCAGCATGTACCGCATGTATAAGTAGTCTGGCCCACATTTTCAACCTAGTAGAACATAGAGCAGAAAATCTTTTTTTCCCCTCTTTTTTAAAAATAATTCATTTTGCAGAAAGCCTGAAAGACAAAAGAACCTCTAAATAAAACTATTTAAGAGTTTAAAAGAGTTGCATTCTTATTATGTAAGGATGATTTTAACAACTTTTTAACATATAATTCTTCCATGTGGAGGTATTCAATACTGTATTGTAAAGAAATTTTAAGGGAAAAATCTTTATATGCAGTATAAAAATATTAATGCAAATACTAATAAAAGAGGGACATCCTTAAGGTAGCCTTAAGTTTGGCTATCTTATACAGAGAAGTGGACACAGGGAAAGGACCGTGTGATTCATCTGAACTGGACCAGTGTTGATCTGTAAGTAAGATCTGATAGGCCAGCAGTTTTAACTTTAAAAAAAAAAATTTTTTTTTTATGGTACAACAATGCAAGATGCTCTGATAGCATTTACTAACAGGACCAGGAGGATCTAAAAAGGACCAGCCTAATGTAGAAGGAGGTTATCTGGACCAGAGCCTTTAGATGATTCTTTTAGCCACTGCATATGCTTTTGTCAGTAGAGTGATTTCTTTTAGATGTGTAATGAGAAATCATAATGCAAAAATTATATTCATGTAATAGATACCAAACTAAAAAAATTGGGCAATTTCAATGGCATATCTTTTGTCAAGGTACACAGATGGCAATGCCATAAACAAGTCTATAAATACCTGCTGCCGTCACCACCCTCATTTGAAACATTACCTTCAGAATCAATGCAGTTAACAGGTATGTTGGCTAAGAGTCATAAAATCACTCATGTCCTTGAACGGGGATTTTTGCTTACTATGTGATTCGTGGGGATTAATGGAAAAAAAAAAAAAAAGCAACATCAAAAAATACATTTTTATGGTAATTAAAAGTACAGCTTGGTCATTTTATTGGAAATCCAGGAGTCAGATGGAACAATTTCCTAATGCTATGTGTATTCCACTAACTTTATGTTTGGTGCGTTTTGATTTTTTTTTTTTTTTTTTTTAAGCAGTCAGGTTTTTTAATGTTGAGGTAATAATTCAGATTTGAGAAGTTGTGACAAAGGTTTTTTTGCTTTACCTCACTTATATAGCGGCTCATTTGGTGCCGTTATAGTTAAGAATCTGAGTTTCCCCCCTATTTTCAGGGGTTCATGACTTGGCTGTTAAGAGGTGTTATTCCTTGCTAAAGCTTGGAATAGTTGGGTGAGTGGATATGTGTTGAATTTGGTTTTCTTTTAACTTGCACATTGGGTGGGAGGAGAAGAAATCTTAACTGTACGTAAAAGTTAATTGGAGGTTTCAAATAAATTCCGTTTTAAATATTTTTGAACTACCCTAATATAATTGTTTAAAACTGTTATTTGCATTCGTGTTAGTTTTGAGCCTATACTTTTACAGGTGAGTGGGGGGTGTACCTAAGGAGATGGAATGAGCCCAAACCCTAAGATTATAGCTACGTGATCTAGAAATCTGGATTTATTCCTTAAATTGAATATGCTTTTTAAATTTTAGAAAGAATAAATAGGCACACCTGCAGTTTGTGATGCTGGTGCCCTCCCAGGGATTGCTATCTGATGTCAAGAGGCACCTCTTTGTTAATTACCAAATAGTCTCTGTGACCAAGGATGAACATTATTAAGTTACTCAGCTCTGTCCTCACGGGCCTATATATTTAATACCTCCAAAGATTTTCAGGGTAGGCTTTGTATACTTTTATTTAGAGTCCTATGGTATGTTTGTGGATAGGAATGTCATGGTAAATTGTTTTTTTCAATAAATATTTTTAAACTTCTGTTTCCATATGAAGTTTTTGGTTTGTTTTTATAATCTGTTTTTTGGGTTTTTTTTTTTTTGCACATATAGCGCTTCCTCAGATAAAATCTAACAACTGACTTATGGCCTCATCCTTCCTGTATTCAGCCTGTCTCAGTTTAGCTCACACTCAGCAATAAAGCCACAAGCTCTTTTAAAGGCTAGGGTCACAGGGTGGCAATGTCAAATGACAGCCAGTTTTGGGTTTTTGTTTTGGTAACATAATTATTTACAGTTGCCCATTATCAGTACTGCTTTAATGTAGTTTTCTGTAAATTTGTACTCTGATTTAATGTAAACGCTAACTTGAGAAAAGAGAAAACCGGTTTCTTTTAGTGATGCGGCTTAATATGCCATTATTTCTAATTCTTATGAAGAATGATGACCTAAAATTTTTACTTATAGGACTTAATCTTTTCAGTGTGGGCATGCTTAAAATAGAAAAGATGTATGGGGTTAAGAAAATCTCACAAAGAAAAAAAAAAAATTTACCTCACACTAAACCATAGCTTGCACAGACTTCACAGATGGTAGAAGGTTATGTACAGAAGCCCAGGCCAACTTGAAGATTTTCCTAGAGGGTCAGCAAAACAATACTTTTTTTTTTTTTAACTCTAAAAATACCACAACTTTTGGTTTTACCCTTTCTTCCCTGACTTTCATTTATTTACTACCCAGACATTTTCCTGATGTTTCCTAAAGTTTGGTGCTACTCAAGTCACGTGCATTGTGGAACTCTGTCAACACTTGCATATGCCACACTGTGGCCAATCACTCCTGGAGTCAAATGGAACCATCCCTGTGTTTTGAGCCATAGTCTTTATGGGTTTCCAAAGCTATGCCCAAAGCATTAGGACTTTTATTACCGTCAAATCTTTTGTCTCTACTTGATTAAGTTTTATAGTATCCCTGCCCCAGGTTTGCTTTCTTTATGAAAACAAAGGATTTGTCTAAGACAAAGATCTGTTAGGAAGAGTTGATACTTTTCTAAAAATTACATGCAGAGGCTGCCGTCTTAAAAAACACTGAGGGTGCCATTTGGCTGCTCCTTGTAGTGCAAATAGAATGTTGGACAGTAAATACATGCCTCAAACATTATTGAAGCTTTTGGCCAAAACTAAAAATTGAAGAACGATTTGCTTTGAATTGTAACCTACCAACTCAGCTTTTATGTTTATTTCGAGACTCAAAGCTTTGATGCTTCCAGGCTGTTCTTTTTCTGGATGGCAAAGCTACTGTTAGAAAAATACTTATCTGTAAATAAAGTACAGATTTTTTAAAGAATTTTACTTTTGCTTAAATATTAACACATATTTCATCTCTTGGCTTTGAAGGACTTCACTTCCTGCCAGGGTTTTTTTTGGGGGAGGGGGGGAGTAATCTGACATCTGGATTAATCTCCAGTTTAAACACTAGTAGTACATTTGTCCCCAAATCTCAGGAATGTTTTAGGCAGAAAACTGGTTTTACCCTGTTGGTGAACTGAAGGAGGAGTGTGCTTTAGGATTTGTTAAACAATACTGTTCTTCAAATTGCAGTCCTAGGTATCTATAGCATGAGTGGCCTTAGTGAGTTTGTTGAAGTGCACATTTTTTTCAAAAGTAAAATTTAAGATTAAAAATATATACTATATATAGAGATATCTAGAAAACTTGGTTTGTGGTGCACAAGTTAAGTGTTGGATCACTAAATAACCATTGCAGGTACCATTTGTGTAACATTAATTTCTGTATATTCCTTTATGGGAAGATATGTTGCCATGGTAACTAAAGTTTTCAACTTCATTATACTTTTATGATGTGAATGAATGCTACATTTTATTAAATATTACCAGGTCAGTACTATTTTTATACTTTATTAAGTAACAGGGGATTTTAGTTTAATAGGCTCAAAATAAAAAGCTATGTCTTAATGGAACAATTAAAAACAAATCACTAACAATTCTTTACATGGAAATCCCCACTAATAGTGCCACAGTAATTTCTATAGAAATAGAAGGTCATTTAATAGACTTTTGAAAACAGTTCTTTATTGTTTCAGGATGACCTTCCATATCATTCTTCTCACCAACTTGTAGTGCCCACCATTTGTAACCATTAAACCATATTAAGTATGTTTGTAACCAGCATTGTGATATATTCTGTACTTGTATTGCTAAAAATGAATTATTGACTAAATAAATATAGTGTTCCTGCATTTATAGTGTACCTGTTTTCAATTTAGTTGTGATCACTTATAGTTGGGTCCAGGGGTTATTTAAAGAAAACAGTGTGAGAAAGAACTGTTGGAACAAGAATAAAAGTCCTATTCAAGAAAAGTAAAAGAAATGGCAGAAGAGAGATGTGCATGGTAACAGCTTTGAAAGATTGTGCTCATAAAAGTACTTTGGAAAAAACATTAATTCCAGTAGAATTTTTAGTCTTTTCCCAGCAATCTAATTCACAGGCTGAAGGACGGCTGAGAGTTTTGCTGAGAACTGTGAAAAAAACTAGATTTGGCTTACTGTTCGTTCCAGCTGTATCTGAACTGTAGACATTTTAAGTAAGCCTTCTCTTTAAAATTTAAAGAGAAATTTTAAGTAAGCCTCCTTGAGTTCGTTACCTTGTTAAGAATGATCGGTCAACTTAGATCCTTTTAAAATTCTACCATAAGCAGCATAAGTCAGAAGACATAATCAAAGCAGGTATAAGAAATGACCCTAGTATATAAAAGATTATAAAGTAAATCATATTAAACACAATTCTACCTTCACTTGGAATAGTCAGTACTAGCACATTGCTACCTTCAGCTACCCTAATTTTGATTTTTCTTTCATTTTCATGATTTTGAACATGATGCCGCTTCTCTTTAATACCGTTTTCCTAGTAAAATCTTGCTCATCTGTCCAGGAAAGCTTGGTAATTATACAGCATTTTGTTCAAAACTTTG